ATGTTACGAAGTCACCAAAACTACTTCGTAAATGTTCAAATGGTTGCTAAATTCGAATTCAGCTCCAAAAACTAGCCTAGAAACATGTGAAACTCGAAAAAGTGAACCGAGGTCACCCGAGGTCACCAAAGGTCAATGACCTGACCTGACCTTCAGGTGACCTTGACACACACGGGAGTAACATCAAATCACATTTTTGAACGTTTGAAACCACGAAAAGCTTGCAAACACGCGGCTAGTGCGAGCCGACATACGCGAAATCGCGATTCCGGCCAAACATGGTCTCGGAAAAGAGGTCACAGGTCAAAGGTCATTTGGGTCAGGGTCATGAAATTTTCAGGGTAGGTGTAAAATTAATCAATGCGAGGGTACTGAAAGTTTCGTCGCGATCGGCCGCTTTTTACGCGAGTTATTCGCGAAAAACCATGGGGGGGGGGGTCCATCCGATCCCCCTACACATGCGAGGGTTAAGGTCACTTAATCTTAGGCAAATTTTTAAACTGATACCTAACAAAGTATAGCATTCGATGCGCATTGACGTGCTGAGTTTATTGGTGCCTTTAAATTTGCGCTATCTTTATCAGATCAAAAGTTACAAGCGAAAAAAAACTCTTGACATTTTTAGCAAAATGTTTATACCTATTTATTCCCCCCCCCCACACCCCCACCCCTAAGTGTTGACTCAGAGTCACCAAATATGAAAAGGGGCGATATTTCTATTGGGCTCACCTACTCTGTAAATTTGGTGTTTTTAAGTGTCATAGGAGCCAATCGCCAGGTTGGGGGTCGTACCCCCTGGCCGTCCGCGTTATGAAAAAGGCCCTGGCCTGGCGAGGATTAACATCGATATCAAAATAGTCACATGGATTGTCAGAATCTTGCTTTCTTTCTCATTGAGATATTGACTATCAATCTCAATGATTTGCTTATACACATACAGAAGTATTGCTTGCCCTTTTCAAAGGTAAATTGCGATTCGCACCTCGTGGCCGGTTATCCTTATGTCTGACCCCTGCGTGACGGCTGTGTGGTTTGTCCGCAGGTACCTGCCGAGGGCGAGGCCGTGGTGGTGTCGGAGCCGATGCTGCTCGACACCGCGACCCCGGACCTCCTTTCCGTGACGGTGGAGGCCGGCGGGCGACTGGTGTTCGACCCGGCCGCCGACCTCGCCAAGCTGGCCGCCGAATGGATCAAGGTGGCCGGCGAACTGCACGTCGGCGCCGAGGACTGTCCGTTCACGGGACAGGCGGAGATCGAGCTGCTCGGCAAGAAGAACGTGACGGTCGGGGTGCAGGTCCACGAGAACGGCACCGAGTTCAAGGCGCTCGTGGTGGTCGACGGCGGCCGGCTGGAGGTTCACGGCCAACCGAGACAGGCGTGGACCCGCCTGCAGACCACCCTTCCTCAGACCACTCGCGAACTGGTGGTCGGCAATGCCCTGTTCAACCACCGCGAGACGGAGAACGTAGCCCACTGGTACCGCGGCTTCATGGGCTATCAGTTTAACTCGACCGGCCAGCCGGTGCGGTACATGCGTCTGCGCCGTTCGTGTGACTTCTCAGACCTGGTGACGATGCAGGGCAGCGTTGTGCTGCTGGTGGTGCAGCGGAAGGTGGAGCTGGATCGCGACCAGCAGCTGGAGCACGCCGCCGACGCGTTCGAGCAGGTGTGCTACGGAGGGGGACAGCGCAGTCACCTTCGCGACCTCAGCCTCGGCGAGACCGTCGCATGGGCAGCCATCTGCCACGTTGGCCACCCGGAAAACACCATAGAAGAGCTTGGACACCCGGAAGGCGACAACTCGGTAACTTCGCGGTTGGTGAAGCAAGTGGGCGATGTCGAGTACTTGGCGCAGTCGGTGACGCGTCTGACCTCCGACTGGCCGTATGAGATCGACATGCTGACGTACACTGCCGGCAACGTTCCGGACGCTCATATTGTTCTGGACGTCAGCAGCAACGTTAGCGACTGGCGCGCCGGCGACACCGTTGCCATCACCTCCACGGACTACGACTGGCGGCAGGCGGAGGAGTTCACCCTGCTCGACTGCCCCGACTGCAGTGCCACCCAGATCATGATCGGCTGGCCGGTGCGCTGGACCCACTGGGGAGAGACGACCGACGGCGTCAACATGGGCGCAGAAGTCGGTCTGCTCAAACGGAACGTGCGAATCCACGGCCGGATGGAAGACGCTTGCTATGGCGACAACCACTGTGGCAGGTTTAATTTCGACACTTTCGGAGGTCAAATTAAGGTATTTGCTAACTTCGCATCGGTACGCATTGTCAACGCTGAGATCTTCCACATGGGTCAAAACTCAGTCCTGGGTGCCTACCCAATCCACTTCCACATGTGTGGCGATGTTGATACAACACGAGAGCTGAGGGCTTACGTACGTTCCAATGCCATCCATCATACGTTTGCACGTTGCGTGACCGTTCACGGGACCAGCGGTCTCCTAGTGGAGGGTAACATGGCCTACGACCACTTCGGTCACTGCTTCTTCTTGGAGGATGGCAGCGAGAAGAGGACGGTGTTCCGCAACAACCTGGGATTCAGCACACGTCGGACGACACTGACGCCGAGCGACCACGGACGTGCCTCGACTTTCTGGATCACCAACCCACTCACCACAATGGAGGGCAATGTGGCCGGCGGCTCCGAGGGCTGGGGCATCTGGTACACGTTCCCGCGAAAACCAATCGGGCCATCTGCGGCGCTGGATGTCATGGAGCACAATGAAGCAATGAAAACACCGCTTGATCCCTTCATAGACAATGTCGCGCATTCGAATAACGAATACGGTCTTCATTTTGATGGCGTGCTTAGATCTAACGGTCATATACATGGCGGCTTCAACTACGACCCACGTGAAGACCCTCTGAACGCAACCAGTCCCACTGTAGTTGTTACCCTTGACGGCTTCACGGCCTTCAAGAACTACAAGTCGGTGTGGCTTCGGATGTCACGGGTAGTGGCTAAACGCTTTAATATCGCCGAGAGCGTCGAGGGCGTGGTGTTCGCATGGTCAGGTGCCGGTGAGAAACGTCTCGAGGACTCATTGATCGTTGGAGAGACCGCCAACAAGGGTAGACCGGAGGGCTGGATCCGGCTGACAAACGGCACTAGCATCTGGTGGGACCGACAGATCCGCATGAACGGCGCAGACAACGCACTTCCCATCATCGGCGTCATCTTCCACGACACAATCATGTCGCTAAATCGCGTCACCTTTGACCGTTTCGAATCAAACATAGTCAGACCCTCCGGGGGTATCGGCATGCGGCGCAAAATTCGCCACTACACCTCGCCAGTGAACAGTGTCAGCGGACTGGTGTTCCGCTACGCCGACCCGCTCGAAGGCAACCGTGCGTTCGACGCCAGCGAAGGGCGCGGCTTCGCCGACCTGGCCGGCAACATTCAGAACGTCATCCGCGATCTGGACGGCTCTCTGACTACATACGCTAACTCCACTGTCGTGAAGCCTTACGACATTCACCTGAATGCTCGCTGCGCACCTGTTCCGCAGTGGAACTTGTATGTGTGTCCGACCATGTTCACCAAACTTTTGTTCATGTGGTGGGACCGTAGTGTGGGCAACCTCAACACGTTCCTCACGCGCAACGATGGAAGCGCTACATTTACCTACGGGGTCAACTTCCAGAACAGCTACGCGCTGAACTCACAGGAGGGCTACATCGTTCACTTCAACACGTCTGTGCCGCGCTACTTCAAAATTCGCCTGGCGGGCGTGGAGGCCGGAGTAGTTCAGACGGTAGGACTTTGCATCGGAAAGGGAGTGACTCCGCTCACCGTCGAGATGAACTCCGTGCCAGTGCCGTCGTTTGACTCTCTGGACGACCAGGGCGCGGATGTGCACTGGTACCTGGACACAGAGGCGGGCGTGCTGTTCTTCCGTTTCAGCTCTCCGTACCATCGCACGGCCGACACGGTGGACGAGTGTCCCGGCCAGGACGGCAAGCCGGCCGGCTGTCCCGAGGTTCTGGTCGTGCTTCCCTCCAGCAACACGGACGGAGACTGCTCGGGGCGCGCCTACCCGGCGTACAGCACGGAGCCACTCGACTCGACCGGTGGCCTCACCACCCCCGACTTCACTGCCTAGAGGCTGGTCCAGCATGGACAGCCCGCCACACATGACCTCCTCTGGAAGACGATGGAATGTCCACAGATGACCTCAGCGAGCCGGGTCATCGACAGCAGACCGCGACTCGGCTGACAAAGCAGGGCGTTTCAAAAAGATGTCACCAAAGAACCTGCAGGATAAACGATACATCCGTCTCGTATGCTTGCATCATGCATAGGTTTGCAATGGATGTTGCAAGCTGAAAGGTGTGCATTATAGTTTTGACACACTACGGATACCGTTTAATTTCGAGAGTTATTCCTCCGAAAAAAATAATGGGATTTATTTCATACTCTTTTGACGTTACTTTAGCGTGTCTTGTCGAATCCTCCATGTTTGTGAAGTATGTTGAATAACGTGCAAAAATTTGTTTTCCTGAAATAAAAATTGCATGAAATTGAATGAATTTGAAAGAACGCCGGCTGACTCAGTAACACACGTTGTATGTTCCCTCAGAGGACATACAGACTAAAGAAGGGAAAAATAAAGGCCAAGCAAGATCGCTCTACGCTCGCCTGCCATTTTTTTTTATTTGAAGCATTTGTGACGCCTTCATTATAACTACACGCCTTAGCCCGGTGTCCATATAAATTCTTGACCAAACCGCGTGTCATTCAACCTGAAATAACTTAAGTTGAAATTATTATGAAAGTGCCGGACACAAGAGTCTAGAACAGTTGAAGCTAAGCTACATATCAAATCAAAGTCATGCTGTGCCGGTTTTTAATTATCATTTATGCATTTTTGTTAAACTCGCTGTGTTTTCATACTTATCGATCAATTGACGGAGCCAATGCATTTTGGGCTTGAACAGCATCCGATTTAATAAAAAGGAAGACGGCTTCAAACAAAGCACTTTCGAGCTATGCTTGTATTTCCCAAAAATAACACATCCAGAGCTCCAGAAACTCGAAAGCCGCTCATCATAGCTGAATCACTGGCCGAGTAAGGCCGGGCGTCGAGGCGTCGTGCGCAGTGACTACCTTTGAGGGTCGGCAGGGTCGCGGTCTGCCGCAGCACTCTGTATTTCTCAGTCGCAGCGCTAGTACGACGGTCGGCTGGTCAGCGAGTCGAGAGCGCTGCGGATCCATGGCATCAGGGCCACCACGTCAGCGTACACTCCGGGAACACCGGCCTGGTGGCAGTTGATCCCCCTGAGGAGCGAGAGAGATACGTCCGGGTGAGAAGGGGTGGGTGACACACCGGGTGAAGCATTTAAAACCATAGTCAAAGTCGGCTCTGATCTACTACCAGGTTGCTCACAAGACAAGACATATAGCGCGGTTTATTTAACAATAGAGTTTTACCGCCAGTGAGTACCATATCTAGGTTGAGCTTTGATCCGTCAGGTTTGAATATAATGCGTCTAATATACATCACAAACATCGAAATAAGTTCAAGGTCCCAGCGCGGTTACCTTTTGCAGTCTAGTAACCAGGACCATGTTCGCTATGCACCCGTAACTGGCTCCAATGCACGAGTTTGGCCAGTCCCATTCGCCCGGCTCGGGAAGGAACGAAACAGAATAAGCGGTCGGCCGTGAGGCACTCACCAGGCCACGATGCCGACCTGGACAAAGGTCTCCTCGTCGTCGTACTGTGCCGACGTGTCGCGGCAGACGAGCGGCGAGCCGCCGTCGCCCAGGCACGTGTCCACGTTCGGTTCGCCGCCGGCACACACGAACGTGTCATGCAGCTCAAACCACTTGCTCAGCCGAGTCTGCCGCAACTGGGTCTGACAGCTACCGCTCTCCACCGTGCGCAGCGGCACCTTCTTCAACAGGTTCGGGTAGAAGGCATTGTCTGCGGGCAGGGGAAGGATGGACATGATGTCGATGGAAGAAGTCATTCATTTGATTTTTGAGTTATGTGTAAAAATAACACGTGCCACCGTGAGATGTGTTGCAATGTCGTTGTCAGGCAGCGCCAGACAGTGTTTACATGCAGTGCTCGGAGTTGCCCTGGCAAACATTCAAAGCCGAGCAGAACCACCGCCGTGTGCATGATCGATGGCAGGGCGCCTTATGTAAACTAAGGTGTAGCATGTGTTCAAAATCCAACTCCATCTCCTGCCAGAATCGTCGCCTCAAGAAAGATAAATACCGATTGGCAAAATCATTGCTGGAGGACATGCTAACATCTGCCACCAGACAATTTACGATTTGAGCCTTCGCGCTTATATGTTTCACGATCCATGGGCATTGGGCATAAAAGTTATTTGTTCATCTGAGGAGGAAGCACGAGGAACTCTGATGTGATTGCCCCCTTAGGTATTTGGTACCTCATGGAACTAAAGCTTGGGTCTAAAAAATGCAATGTGCTTTTGATCAGAATAAGCCGACAGTACCAAAGCTTCAGCTGTCAGGCAAACCGAATTTCAAATGGCAGCTTAAAAAAAGCATCCCAAGGGTACAGAAGCGCTACTTTCCAGCAATAGCCATGTCTTAACGCCTGATATAATTTCAATGCCATCCACTTATAGCGCAGCCTCAGCCTGCCGTCGACCTTGAATCCTAGTCGTCGCCTCGCAAAGGGGTGGCTGGTGGGGTTGGGCGAAGTGGCCATAACCGGCGAAGCAGTCACGGCCGTGTTTGCAGCTAAGCAAAACAACGTTCCACGTACGGAGTCGGAGTGTTTAGTGCACTCCGTCACACACCTGCCACACTCACACGTGCAAAGAGCGTGTCGTTGAAAGAATGATAAGGCATTGCCCGGGGCTGTCCGGAATGACGGCAAAATGAGAGAGGCAGGTCACGCAACGGGATATTTAGGGGCCTGTCCAGAACACGACGAAGGTTATCGCGTTGAATTTGTCACAAGTTTTACGTTTAAAATTATACCACTCGGCCAATTTATCATCTGCACGCCGATTAAATGCACGCTAACGACAAGCATATTTTACAAGTTACGTATAGAAAGTGTAAATAATTCAATGATTGGTTTCTTACATGCATGGGTTTGAGACCCTGGCCCTTGCCCTATCCCTCGAGTCAGCGCAACTATGTTATCGACCTCTTGTGGCAAGTGCTGTCGACTGCAGTTTGGATCGAAACCTCAAAATTAATATAAGCAGTAAAATTATTGTGCTCAGAGGATCACTTCCAAATGCAGAAAACATCGAACCCTACGCTCCCGTCTGGGACTGGCCCGACACCTCACTCACCAAACGATTCCTGGCCCCAGCCGGTGGCGTAACAGTCGGCAAAGTCGATGTTGTGGTCGCCATCGTCGGGCAGGCAGATGGTGTTGATGTGGGCGTCGGTCTCGACAGGTGACTCGAGCCGCAGAAGTGCCACATCGTAGTGGAGCGAGTCCGAGGCGAACTGCTGGTGCACCACCACCTCGGCGACGGCGCGGTCCTCGTGCGGGTAGACGGTGTCGGCGTTGTTGGTGTCCCATTCGCCAACTCGAGCCACTAAACGCTCGGCGCGGTACCTGCAGATCAGCAGCGCACCGGTATTAGCCGGGTACTAGACACAGTACAACAGCGTGTCATGAAGAGATACCACGCTAAGCCTGTCACAATCGGTAAAGGTTGGCAGGCGCACTTCTGCATTACAGCAGAGTCATCAATTAAAGACTACTGATAGACGAACTACTGACGAACGTGACATCACACAGAAGGGAGTAGGAGCGTAATCAAATAACGTAATGCGGCACATGCTACCTGACCAACTGCCCACATATCAGCGACGTCGCCGTCGGTCGATTGTAAGTAACCCCGCTCACTTGTAGACGCAGTGGGCGGCCGTTAGCACAACGTTCGGTGCGATCAGCGAACCCCCGCAGAGATACTTGTTCTTGTGCGTCTTGCCGGAAGATGAGACCAGCCTCAGTGCCACCATCCAGGGGAACTCGCCGAGACGAGCGGCCTGAGACAAACGATAACGAATTAGTCAATGGGCTGTTCCTTTTGTCAATGGTTCCAGCAATGAGTTGTGTGCAATAGGTTCGGCAACGCCATTACAGGTTCCTTTAGGATTCGCCGTGTGTGTTTAGGTATTCTTATCGAGAGAATTTGCAGATACCAAAGCATTTAACAGTGTTGACTTAAGCATTACTTCCATGATGATTCAATGCCTACTACCCTTGCCGACGCTAGCATGGATCATAATGCCTTAACACCAGGGGTAGTGTGTGGCGGCTCACCTCTCCGGAGACAACCCGCCGGTCGAGCCGGATCGGGGAGCGGGTGCCGCAGCCGAGCGGTCTCCAGGAGACGGGCTGGCGCCGGTCCCGGTGTCGGCAGCACACGTGGCCCGGCTGGCAGCGCGAGTCCACCGTCGCCGCCGTGCCGCCGGCCGAGAAGCTGCGCACGCTGATGATGCCCACGCCGGAGGTGTTGATGAGCCCGTCCTCGTCGCACAGGTAGTCGGGCACACACTCGCACTCGGCCAAGCCGTAGTGTGAGAGACCGCCAGTGCTGCTTAGGTGCACTGCCGAGCCATCGGCGCCGGCCGTGGCCGCCTCGGCGTGCTGCCCGGAGACGTACAGCGAGGCACGCCCGTCGCCATCGACAGACGACGCCGCCACGCTGGGCCCGCCGCCGCTGGAGCCGCCATGTGCCGAGCCGGCCGAGGCGCCGTGACCCGACTCGGTCGAGTAGACGCTGCGAGAGGCGCTGGCTACCCTACCTCCACCCGAAATCGCTCCTCCGGCTGAAGACGAAAGCACCTCAGGAGAAGCCGAGGCGTGTCCTGCGGTGAAGGACGGACCTCCAACGGGACCGGTTGATGTGGAAACGCTCTCAGCTGCGGAAGAGGCGTCTTCGCCTGACGTATGGGCGCGGCTAGCTTGAGGATGCGTGCCACTGCCGATGCCGCTACCCCGACCACCCTCACCTCCCGTGTGTAGTCCCGATGAGGAGGGGAATGTTTCGACGTCCGAGCTAAAGTGGCCAACATCGGTCTGCTCCGAGTATACTTCCTGTTGGACGGTCTCATCGTGCACGGTGACGGCGTGCTCGTGACCGCCAGCCCCGTGCACCTGGTGTCCTGCCGACAGCGCCACACCAGACGGGCCCAGCGAAGCGGAAGCGTGGCCGGACACCCCGGACACACGGGTTCCCGAGGAACCATAGCCAGATGACACGCCAGTGACTGAGACCAGGATTCCATGTCCCTGACCAACGGTGCTGAACGGTCTGATGGCCTTATGCACTTCGTCGCCACCCACATGTTCGAACTCGGCAGCGTGCGTCTGGGAGACTCCAGTGGCGGTTGATCCGGTTCCACTCACTCCCAGTCCTCCTCCTACGCCGACCCCCGCCGAAGACGCTCCGCCCGGCACTATCCAGGACGCGTTGAAGGAGGTCGCGGGCACGCAGACCAGGCCGCTGCTTGCTGCGTCTCTGACAATGATGCGCGGCGCCTTCACTTTCGACGAACCAAAGTGTTGGCTGACGATGAAACGTGCATTGTTGAGAATATAAGAGGTTGATAGCGTGAGTCGAGATTGAGAGGCAAAGAGCGCAAGTTCCTTGATAGCAGCCTGTGCTCGAGCATACGCCTCGCGCGCGCTCTCACGGGCGTCGGCGAGACCAGACTGTGCTTCAGAGTAGGCATCCTGCGCGCTCGCATAAGCCTCACCGACGCTGGCATACGCACTTTCGTGGGCTTGCTGTGCAGTGACGTAGGCTGAGCCTACGTCAGTATGAGCACTTTCATGCGCCTGTTGCGCACCAAAATGAGCTGCGTGTAGGGTAGACCCAGCTTCTTCGTGCGCCTGCTGTGCTCTGTAATGGGCGTCACCTAGGGTAGACCCAGCCTCTTCGTGCGCCTGCTGCGCACTATGATGGGCGGCGCCAAGGGTAGAACCCGCCTCTTGGTGTGCCTGCTGCGCGCTAAAATGGGCGGCTCCCAGAGAAGCTTGCGCGTCTTCATGTGCTTCTTTTGCACTGAAATGAGCAGCGCCTAGCGAGGCATGCGCATTCTCGTGTGCCTGCTGTGCACCGAAATGGGCGGCACCTAGGGACGCGTGTGCCCTCTCATGCGCTTGTTGGGCGTCAAAATGGGCGGCACCTAGGGTTGCGTGAGCACTTCCATGCTCCAGTGGCGCGCTCAAACGAGGGCCACCAATGCCGTGCGCACGCTGGCCAGTCTGCTGTCCGTACTGGACAGATGGCTGGTCCACAGAGCCGCTGTGCACGACTTTCGACGGACGGTGGATCTTTGAGTGACCGCGGCCTGAGTGTCCCCTGTGAGCGCCATACCCTGACTGGGCCGGGACGCTAGCCCCACCGGACTGAACAGGGTAGCTCGGGCTGTATGCCAAAGACACAACACAAAACCATGCCAGACAGGCCAGCACAGCCGCAGCAAAGTACTTCATCGCTGGTCTGCAAGAAGTCAAGGAAAAAGGTCAGTCATCGTAGAACATGCGATGCCAAAAAGAAGACATTCTCCATAACCGAAACTAATCTGCGTAAAAGCCCGCAGAGGGGGAAAGGGGATACACCGTGCCGTCCATCATTTAGCTGCAGCTTCGGCAAGAAAGCGAGCGGTCTGTCTTTTCAAGACGCAGCGACTGGTCTCCAGGTCTCAGGTCAAAAGGTGACCTCTGAGGTAAGGTCAAAACGCGAGGTCGGGGATCGAGTTCGGATTAACGCCTTCTCCAAAAATGGTCGTGTGGCAGCGACTTTGACACAGTCTTATTTGTCTTGTCCAGCAGCGTCATAAGGCATAGGACGTTCTATTTGCTTGGATAAGATTATGTTGGGCGTTGACCTCTGTTTGAAGTCTGCCTAAATCCACTCAGAACACAATTATCAGGAGAAAAATCGCCAGCTGCCACCTGTAACGGTGTATTATTTTTTAAATTCATATATTTGCATTTATTTTCAAAACACAAAAAACATTGAATTGCTCATAACTTAGCATTTTTTCTACTAAACCAAGCGAAAATTTCACATGCAATACAAAATTGACGTAGAAGCTAGGTACATGAAACATGAATGCTATAACATTATTAGCTCTCGAGTTGTCGCGAATAGTTAGCAGCCCCCTCCGCCAATGGCTACTAATGGCAGTGGAGCAGACGATGTGATGATCTGCCTACTTACCTACCGGGTTGTCCCACGGCGGTGACGATCCGCTGACCACTGACGCCTCCGCGGCCGCTGACGTCTGGCAGCGGGTGGCAGCAGCCGCCCGCCTATATACACAGCCGGCAGAGCTGACGGCCACACGGCCTGCACTGCACGGCTCCTGGGAATGCCGAGCCGCCAATTGACGTCAAAAGAAATCGAATTTACCGGCTAAACTTTCTGCATAATGAGAAACCGATGATGCTCTTCTGTCTTACAACTGCGTAAATCTGAACGGGTAATACACAAAATTTAACTTGGAATATGCAAAACCATGTTCACAGCAACTTACCTTCATATACACGGGCATCCAGAAACACTGGCAGGCTTCGAGTCTTCCAAAAACACAATCTTTGATGCAGCGGCCGTCTCACAGAATATTGGTTCAACCGTTTCACAATTCGCCTTCAATATCAGCACTCAATGCTGTTCCTGCTTTGAACCACGGGGAATACCTCGAGGCAGGGAGTTTGTTTACACCTCCTCCGTCCAACTCGGCTCCTGGTCCACGCCAAAACAGAGGGCAAACGGCGTTCGAAAGTTGGCCAAAGCGCATCAGAAAGTATCTATGTCAATAAGAAAGACAATGTTGGATTACCGGACACCTAATGTAATAAAAGTAGAGATTTGTTTGTAGGTACTCATGCGTATACTCAGCACGGGTGAATGTTTTATCCCTAGAGCACTTATGTTTAGTTCATCAACGCCTCAACTCACTTCTCCTCAAGACCAACCAGTCCAACACCTAAGCTCGGAAAATCATACCAATAAGACAACAGAGTGACTGAGGAATGGACTAAGTTGCACTGAGAAACGGACATTGCAACGAAAGTTAGCTCAAAGCTCCGAAAGCTCCGTAACAATAAATGCAAGGAATTGTTCTTCTCCCTATTCCTAAAAACTATAGCGGCTTTCTAGAATAGATCAACAGACTAAGCCCAGCGATGATTTTGAACGTGTGCATGGGCGATCCTGCCGCGGCCGAGCAGCCGGTATAACGTCGCCTGCCGAACGCTGGGCGGCTCGGGTCGCCGTGTTTACTGAATGCAGACGGCTGGGAATCCACACTCACCGCCGCACGGGCCTGTCTGTTTATCCAAAAATATCACAATATAGACTCGAGTCGGAGCGCCAGCTGTCACTATTCGAAAGCAGGGTCACCGGAGAGCAGGGTCCAGCATCGTCACCGAACGTTATCCTCCAAGAAGCATCTCACATAATACCCAATACAATGTATCAACAGAGTGGTACAAAACGGTCAGCACTTGAGACCTTCTCCTCGATTATTCTTATAATAATGAAATATAAATATATTCGTTGGCCAAAGTTCTTAACGAACAAAACTCCTATCGTATTGATCCATCAACAAATCAAGGTAAAAGTCGTAAGATACCAAAAGAAAAGAAAAACTAATAACTATCTATTCCCGAAAATGTCAACACAAACTAATAAAGGGAATCGTCGCATCTTTATTGAACACTCACAACAAGCAGATGCCAACAAGATTATGAGCCATGCGAGACGAGAGGGCCGGTGCCCAGAAGCGTGATGAAGATGATACCAATGACGATCGAGACGTTAGCACGCAACACCCAGTATAGAACACGACGTCTCACTACCACCATCTTCAGTCCTCTTATAGCGCAAGTTATAGCGATACACAACATACACGACAGAAAAGAAGAGAAAAGTCTTTGTAAAAACACGTGTGAATCTATTTAACATCCACCACGGCCTTGGAGACGCCCTGGTCCCGTGCAGCGGTCTGCCATAGCCGGTCGGTCAGCTTGGCGGTCGAGAGCTCGTCGGGCCGCATGCTGAAGGTGATGGCCGTGGTAGGCGCGCTCGAGACGACGCCGCGCACCTCGGGTCCGGTGTGCTGCGAGTCGAGCCGCATGTTCCCTGACACACGGTGGTAGACGGAGAACGTGGCCCTGTGCGGCACAAAACAGTGTCACAAGGGCGGGCACCGCAGGCACCGACCGACTGCAGGCGTGGCGCCTGCTGTCGGCACCACGATATTATATGACACTGGACATAATTGAAAATTGCAATGAGCTTTGATGCACAGGACTTATTAAACACACTCCACTGAAACGTCAAAACTTAGGTAGGTGCGCTATAAAACAATCATAATGCCTACAAATCAACATCCACCACTTTGTATAATTTTCCGAGTGTTGAATCGACAATGGTCAATGACGTGATTTCAACCTTATTTCTGGATTTTCATGTGTTTTTCAGACATCCTTGTGAAAACATGCGTAATTATAAAAAGAGAAAATACCGCAAGTAAGATTATGCTAAATTTCAATACATCGCGTAAAGAGGTAAGCGAAAAGCGGAGGTAAGTCGTAAGCTATGAGTCCTATGCATATTATGCAGAAGACAAAGAGAACAGGTAAGTACTGTTAATGGCGTCGACCACCAGTTCGAACAGATCTAGCTAACTCCACAGCCGAGACCAAGGCGATAAATACCCCAGGGCCAGTTTTACCAACAGAAAAAAAATAGCATCGGCTGCGTGTATTTTGCCCCAGGCATATCGTCCCAAACTTCCCTAGCCATACGAGCGAGAACAATATAACTTTTGATGAAAAATGATATCAGCAAACCTGAGATGTGTTTTCACACCAGCAGCTTTTTTCGCGTAGTTGATTGGCCTTGTGGAAGAATACGAAATAAAAATATCGGTAGCCGCTATTTTTTCTGTTTGTAAAACTGCCCTCGGAACTAGAAATGACCGTGGAGTCTATCTAACAACAGAGCATTTAACACTTAACAGCAATCTGATCATTTATCGCATTTATATACGTCACAGTTGCAATAAGATAGTTTTACTCACTTTTCCCGTTCCAGTTGCCTGTATTTTGTAGTCAGTTTAGCTTCCTCTGACCTCTGCTCATTCTGTAGCTCTGAAGTCAAGAGTCTTATCTCTTTTTTGGCCTCCGATATGTTCTGCAGAGTCTTCGCCTGTAAAAATGTTTAGGTAGCAAGAGAAAACTTCCAATGAAATGCTATGCTTGATTATCGCTGCTTACGTTCAAATTACTAAAATAATTTACCTATCGAGGGGCGTCAACGTTCCTTCATTCGTATCGACGTTCGGTAAGTGCGAAATCCAACTAACTCCACCTCAGACAATGGGCATTCCTCTCAAATCCCGCACCACGATGCAGTTGCTCGAGCACATGCTATGCTTGCATCTGCATGCTTCCAGAACTCCAACAAAAAAAAAAGCGACGGCGCTAGGCCCGCGCCGGAGATGCATTTGCTCTGATAATTCAATGTCGGAATCAGCGTGCAAGCAGGACCAATAGAAACCAAGTGCAAAACTTTCCACCCAACAAAGCTTGACCTTTACGCCAAACATAGTTGGAATAGGTAAAACTCTCGAGACTCTAACCACGACCAAAACTGTCCATTCCGACTGATTCTGACTCCAACTAACCAAATATGATGGTGTTGAAAAATGACCTGAAAAATGCGCATTGCGCATGTTACGGTAGAGAAATGATAGTGAAACAAGGCCACAAATGAAATATAATATATTTTCGCCTTATTTCACTATCACTGCACTTACACCGTACCGTGAGCCTAAAGCCATTTTTCAACACCTCAACATTCATGATAATGCTCAAAGAAGCCATAGCTCACCTCCACCAACTAAGCAGCCTTGATTAACCCGCGCCCCAGTGGCGGTCTCAGCCAACTTCGCCCTAGTGAGGGGGGGCATATGTTACCACCCACCTCTAACTCAAAAACTAAGAGGGCTAGAAAGACGCGGTAAAAAACAGTCGATAGCTCTCAATGCGTACGTTTGAAAGTATTTCGGCCATTTTTCACCTTAGAGCAATATTGGGGTCACCAGAGGTCATCAAAGGTCAAAATTTGCCAATTGTCATTATATTTTTCAGAAAACATGCCGCTATCTCAGGAACTATGGTAGCTAGAAAAACGCACGGAACCGCAAACGATAGCTTTTGAACTCTTCTTTTGAAAAGGTCATTATCAATATTGACCTCAGGTCAACGGTTTAGCTTCCAGAGGGCAAAAACTCCAAAAATAGCTGTTTTTACGAAAAGTGTTTTTCGACAGTAACTTTCGACTACAAAAAGCCACGACATTTCTATTGCCAGAATCGTGTTCTCCTCGCCGAGACGCGTCGAATGAACTATAATTTCACCTTGAAAGGTCAACTTCAAAATTTGACCTCAGGTCAAGGTCATGACCTGACCGGAAAAGGTCATGTTGCATATCAGTCGATGCGTCTCAACAAGACAAACACAATGAGACCATCCCCAGCGTTCTATCTCTTTCCAATCGCGAGTTGTTGGCAAAAAACGGTTTGTAGCCTCAAGTGACCTCGGATGACCTGTCTAGAGGCTATCAGCAAAAATGACACCTTGGTCATCACGAGTGGACTAAATCATTGTGATTCTGAAATATTTGGACTGTTCCGATGCGTACACACGGATCTAGAGGCATTTTCATTTTTCTCCATTGACTTGTAATGGAAAGGTCACGCCACTGAGCTGACCTTAGGTCACGGATATAAAAAATCCGAGATATACAAATTGTAGGCGCCCATAACAGCATGCAATCCACCAAGTTTGAAACCTTTCTGACAAACACTGCAGGCTGGACATGATTGCAAGCTTTTTTTTAGGCTTGGTCAGTTAACTTGACCTGGTGACCTGACCTGACATGACCTGGGGTCAAAAATTTCACACATTGTCCAAAATTGATGTACCAAAAGGTACCCCAAGCGGCGCGGCGCTACGCGCCGCGGTTTTTTATTCACACGCAAAAAACGCGACAGGGTGGTAACATATGCCCCCCCCCCCCCCACTGGGGCGAAGGTTAACACCACGGAGCGAAATGCGATATGTAGCCGATACTATGTTATTTCAGGACAAATGATTCACGTAGCTGAAGTTATGTAGTGTTGCTGGGATACCTTTATTGGTAGCAATGGAGGCACGTGTCGCTACAAGTGAGCTTACCTTCAAGTCGGTGTGTTTCTTCAAATCGGAATCAACATCGAGGTTCATCTTCCCAGATAACTCTAAAACAAAACATAGAGGTTGTTGAAGGCATGATTATACACTGAAATATATGTCTAAAAACTGAGAAACTCATAACTGAGTTGAGTTGCATCCGCTAATGAAATACCACGACTGATAAGTAAGAATAAAGAAGTGAATAATCCATATTAGAAATGTGGAAATTCACAATGGATAGAAACGGTGCGCACGGAGATAATCGCTAAACAAAATCGTATATATGATGCTAAAACCAATGTCCACTTTAAAAAGATCAACAGAAAAAGAAAATCCTGTTACTACGAGGAGAATTCAAGAAGTTCCCGGCACACCATGAAGGAGCAGAGATACGGCATCGAGTTATTGGACCAAAAATGCTTATTTATTCAAATGAACACAGTTAAGACGAAACATTCAGCGCAGCGCTTCAAGGAAGAATTGTTTTCTTAAAGGAAATAGTTCACTTTCCTGAAATTAGTATTTTGCTATGGATTTATGTTTTTTTATGCTCAAAATGATCAGAAAATAAAACAAAACGTTTTTGTAAAAAGGATTATTTTCTATATTTTAGTATAAGAAGAACTATATTCTATATAAAATAATGTTTGACGCGGAAGCTTATTACGCGTTGACCAATCATATTGCGTAGGACAAACCCATCGGCTGTAAGCAGCATTCTGATTGGCTGACGATGACGTGACTGCATTCCTCAGCAAGGCACTCTTTTCGGAACGAAAAATGGAATATCTTCGTCTAGGGTGATCGTTGGGCCCTAAAAGCTTCTGATTTGTGCTAGTCTCAGCGCAAGCAACAAAACTGCTATTCCAGTTCCAAACCCCATGTTAAAAGTGAACTATTTCCTTTAATAACTATTATGACCCAGTACAATGATTCCATATTTAAAACCATCATAGGGCAGCAATGTCTCAAAATTTGTCGATTTGGGTGGGAAATGACATCCAAAGGAAATCCATTTTCCACTCTCACCACCAATTTTTAAGAACAATTTTCCACTCCCAACCAAGAAAACCTAGATTTTTTTACCTCTAGAAAGAGCGGTTGTGTGAATGCCCGGTTTAGCATCAAACATTCTACATCCTAGAATAAAATCCATGTTTTATGGCGTTTCTCCCTCTTTTTGGATCTAATCGAATCAGCAGTTTTCCACTCTCTCCCCTCTTTTTGGTGGGTAATTTTCCCCTCTGACACCCCAGACAAAACTCAATTTTGGGACACTGTAGGGCAGGATGCAGGGGGGTTCGCTCCCGTGCCTTCAGCATTACGAAAAATGGCAACAGGCCGTGAGCAGCATCAGCGCTCACGCTTATGTTCAAGGAAAACAACGTGTGATTAGCTGCTGACGACGGCCCTCTCCACCAATCAGCGCTCGGTAACTCGAGCGCTGATTGGCTGGTAGTAAACGCGTCATATGTGGGTCTCTTTTTTTGCTATCAGTGAACGCGTTATTTAATACACAGTGGCCTATGGAGAATGGCACGCGGAATTGAAGGTCAGTGTTTTATTGCTTCGTACATGCGAATGGGGGTATTTGAGTGGCATTTGACACCATTTTCGAAATCTACAGTGAATTTCTGATCGACTCATGTATATATTTTTATGAATTTGACAGTATTAGTGCTACATAGTCGGTGTTTTATGTTGGTGTTGTTTCTCTCAACCTTTGTCTTGGACTTTAATCATATCTTTTCTCGAAAGTGCTTGCCATAACCAGGTCTAAACTGTATCTGTATAAAGGGAATATGTGTTGAATATGAGGGGAAAGTAGTAATGACCATTCTGCCTATCAAACTGCCAGAAGGTGTGCTTGTAAGGTGATTGAAACTGCAGTACGGGTTGCAGATGTGGGTTTGACATTAGCATTGTTGTTGTAACCCCACTTGCTCTAATAAAATGGCAACATGGGGTTATGTACACACTATTGCACAGCCTGGTATCAAGCTGGTTGATATGTGGAGGATAATGAAAGCATAAAAGAATAGGAGCGTTGCGTCTTGTGACTTATGTCAAGTCATTTTAAATCAAATGCTTGTGATGGTAACTTTCACTTCAATTACTATTGCAAGTTTTGACCTTTTCAATCATCAATTTTTATGTGTACCAATTTCATATGCCTGTGTAATGTCTGTGCGGCTTTGTGCAGTGTGCGTGTCTTGAAACAAACCAATTTATTTTGTACTTTTTGTACTTCAACAAATGTATGTCAAAGGACAAAAATGTCATGTCTATTATCATTGACACTACTACAGCTAACTTTGCCTGTATTCCTATCTTTCAGAGGCATTCAATTCAATCTGCTTTCCAGTGCAGTACCAAGGAGGCTGCAACTGAAACTCGCTCAAAGGCAATCAAGTGTCACTTCATCAGCCTACAGTAACAGCCCATCTGTAATCAAGATATGGATGAAGGGGCATAGAAGAACAACCAGTTCAAACATGAAAAGATTGTATTTAGTTTTGGACTATTTCTTAGCATAACAGAACAGTACACTTGCTGCTTTTTATGTTTGCCCTGTGTGCAGTTTTGAATAATTTTAACCATGAGATGCTTTTGTCAACTATGCTCTTTACATAAGCTTCCTTTGTCATGCATGTGTAATTTTGAGTTTACATGCATAATGTAGGCACATTTCCATTGGCTTCATAGAAGTTAAAACTACTGCAAGCTTTGGTTATGGACATTGGTGCTATATATGATGCTTCAAATGTGTCCAGTAGTTGATGAAGGGAGAAGATGAGTAGGACAGCTGATAGCTATTACCAAAAGTATGTGCTTGTCTGCACTTCGGGCTGTTTTACTTCCTTGAGTTAAAAAACCCTCATCTTTTGTTTCTTTCCTGTGTGCCCATTGTTTTCATGGTGCTATACATAAACGTCAAGTTTGAAGTTGGTATCCAAGTGAGCAAAATGTGTATTATTTCAGTCCGTCTTGAATCATTCGTCTTGAATTATATCCCTAACTGACATCCTGTTATTTGTCCTGCAATGTCTGTGCCTGTGTCCGCCCTTACCTCCGGCTCCAGCCTCCAACCAGCCCTGCTGAGCTCTGTCGCCGGCGCGGTGTGTCGCAACGTGCTGTTTCTCCACTCCAGCCGACAGCTGCTAGGAATCGTCCTGTGCCATGCGCCATGCGACACAGCAATTGTAAGCTGCAGGTCACATTCGGACTGATGGCTCCGCGTATGTGCATCCGGCCGGGAGCTAGTCGATATCAGGGACGTGGGTCGGACTGTTGTGGCGGCGTGCACTGTGCTGGTTGAAGTTGTATTTCTGTTAGTGAAAAGCATGAATACATAACCGTGGCCGCAACCCAATGTTATTGTGGATTTCAGAGGGAGTGGCCAGTCAGGAGGGCCCCATGTGGGTATGGATCCAGTGTCCAGTGGGATTGGCTAGGATTTCCGGCGATTGATAAACGCTTCTATGATAGTAAACCTATTGAGTTATGAGGGGAGGTCACGTGACGGACCTGACCTTACTAAACTCTTGTGAAAACACGACACATACGAACGGTAAGAAACCGACAACTCTTCTTTCTGCCAAGTGTCATCTTTCTGTGAAGGATTTCTTGGCACTGAGTGTTCAGAAATTGCGTTGTTTTTGGACTGTGCGGAGGCTCACGAGCGACAACATAGGTCAACAACCTGACCTACCTTAAATATGCGACTTGTACCATAAGATCCAGCTTGATCAAAAGATAGGACATGTCAAATTCCATCTCTTTATCTCAAAAGAATTTTGAGCTATCGTAAAAACCGCCAGTGTGGCACCATATCGCCTCCGCGCGCGGTCGGAAGGTAAAAGTTCGCCGGCTCTAACTAAACAAATAGTCGTCGTATCGCAAATTCATTGACGGCGTTCGAAGCGTCGTTCAATTTACTTTCGAAACATATCCTAACATTACCATTTAACTGCCTAGCGTAATCACCAACAAGCAAAAGTTCCGCGCATCCCTCCTCATACAGTGTTAGCGGCGGCCGGCCGCCGGCCGCTGACCCACATTCGCGTCATCAGGGAATGCCGCAACTAATTTATTGTTTCCAACTTTTTTCCCGGAGCGTTCTACCTGGTTTATATAGCCTTGCTCACTGGATGTAACGGAAGTTGGCACAGATTCAGCACAGATTCAGCACAGCACAGATTCGGTAGGGGGAAAAAAGGCCCCGGTAGAGGGAAACCTTTATGACCCGTTTTCCCCTAGAAATGACGTCACAAAGAGGTAAAAATGGGTATCAATCGAAAGCTCTCGTTTACCCAGACACAGTCCTGCAGGAAAATTCCACTTTTTCCCCATAGGAAAGTTTTTACGGGAAAATCAAAATTTTGGGTCAATGGGGGGTCCCCCCCGATTTCGTTCAAAATCGGCACACAGGTGCCCCACCACCAGCCGAGAAACTTTCCCCAAAACGGTCCCCGTTGCATTGACGTTTAAGGCCCTTAAAGCCCAATAACTCGTAAAAAATCCGTAAATTCGCCCTTGTACGGCCAAAAACGGGGCGCTAGGGTAAAAATGGGTATCAATCGAAAGCTCTCGTTTACCCAGACACAGTCCTGCAGGAAAATTCCACTTTTTCCCCATAGGAAAGTTTTTACGGGAAAATCAAAATTTCGGGTCAATGGGGGGTCCCCCCCGATTTCGTTCAAAATCGGCACACAGGTGCCCCACCACCAGCCGAGAAACTTTCCCCAAAACGGTCCCCGTTGCATTGACGTTTAAGGCCCGTAAAGCCCCCTAGACTCGTAAAATATCCGTAAAATCGCCTTTGTACGGACAAAAAAGTGGTGCTATGGTAAAAATGGGTATCAATCGAAAGCTCTCGTTTACCCAGACACAGTCCTGCAGGAAAATTCCACTTTTTTCCCATAGGAAAGTTTTTACGGGAAAATCAAAATTTTGGGTCAATGGGGGGTCCCCCCCGATTTCGTTCAAAATCGGCACACAGGTGCCCCACCACCAGCCGAGAAACTTTCCCCAAAACGGTCCCCGTTGCATTGACGTTTAAGGCCCTTAAAGCCCCGTAAACTCGTAAAAACTCCGTAAATTCGCCCTTGTACGGCCAAAAACGGGGCGTTAGGGTAAAAATGGGTATCAATCGAAAGCTCTCGTTT